GCCAAGCGGGAGTGGGGGGGGCTGCCTTTGACTCCCAGCCGCCTTGCTTGGGCCGAAGTTGGGTTATCCAAGGACTGAGGGCCACTGACAGCCTCCTCTAGCCAGCCCTCCCCAGTCCATGGTCTGGAAGGAAGGAAAAGCTCCATTTGGGGAGCCTGGAGTTTGTTTTCTCCGGCCTAGTTGAAGCATAACCCCCATCCATCCATTCACTTGAAGAGAATTGCAAGAATCGCCTTCCTCTCGGCCGGTTCAGCTCAAAGAAGAAATGAGGTAAATTGCCTTCTGAGCATTTCCTGCGTTCCTGGTTAATACGCATGTCCTTGATGGGGGTGCAGCTGCCTCTTTGAGAACAGGCTGGCAGTGGCACAAGCAGTACACACACACACACACACATATACACACTCTTTGCAACCCAATTCAAAAGCTGGGTTGACTGTCCAGAGGAGGGAGGAGGTGTGGTAGAGTTACATTTATGGCTTCAGCACGGAGCTCCTCTGATGGCTCAGGACTTTTCCTTTCTTTCCAGTCAGGCAGGGCCTGGAGTCTGGGGTTATGGGTGGAGAAAGGCTTTACGGGGAGTAGGGGGTGGTTGTGACCACAGAACTTAAGCCCCGCCTCTTGTTTACCTATGTGCATTGCATTGCGTGCAAGTGCCATCTTCCCTCTTTTGACTCCTGCTGCAGTCATGCCCCCCCCCCCGCTCCCCCTGCCAAACCACAAGGGAAATAGCCGGATGCCGTTGTTAGTGGTGTGCATTAGGGTTCCCATGGGAAGAAGTGAGACCAGAGGGAGGGGAGGGAGGGAGGGGTCTGCTGGGCACTTTGCCAGAGCCCCGGTGGGGCTCACCCCCCTTCTCCTGGGCCAGGAGAAAAGACTTGCACCCAGAAACCTCTCTGTGTTCTCCTGAAGCAGACTCCCGTGGGCCAAGGCGGAAGGCGCCTCCATGTTTTAAGGACAGCCCGGAGAAATATTTTCTCTGCAGCCATGAGCAGAGGGTGGGAGTGGCTTCTCTGAACGCCCCCCAGCCCCTCAGTCACGGCTTGTTGACTGCCAATCTTTCTGGGCTCTGGACCTGGGAAAGGCACCTCCTCCTCCTCCTCCTCCTCCTCGTGTTTCTGAGAGTGAGAAATGGGGAAGGGCCAGCACAGCACAAGCTCACAGGCTGCAGCAAAGGGAGGCAGAGAATGGCTTTTTGTGCCCTCCCAGCTGAGCCCGGGAAGAACTGCCTTCTCCCTGGCAGCAAAACCAAGTGAGCCTCAAAGAGAAGCCGGGAGAAAAAGTGAGGCCTTGTGCAGGTGTGGCCCCCGTCTGACTTGCGGGACGAGTCTAAAGTGGAGGCCTTTGACAACACGGCAACAACCGCTGCTAGATGTGGCACTGAGGTCCCAAGGGGGCAGGTGCAATGGCAGGCGGGGCACCCATGGACGCCTCTCGGGCTCGCTGTCGGTATTCAGCCAAGGGTGATGCCACTAACCCTTCTGACCTCCCACCATTGTACTTTGGCCAGCAGAGGCAAAGACTCTGATCCCTTTGCCCTTCATACAGGTCCATCTGGCCGTGACTGCCTGATCTCTCTGGCTCATCTCCAGGTTCAGCCCTTCTATCCAGCTCCGCAAGCAAACCCAGGGATGGCCCGGCAGGGAAAGGCCTGCAACGGTCCAGCATCCTCTTGCTCCTGACCACACGCAAAGCCCACCCAAGGAGGGGCCAAAGGAATGGGGGGCATCTCATATGCCCATATTTGCTGACCCAGCCACCAAGAGGGAGAAAGCAGACAGCCCACAAACTGGACAGCAACAAATTTATTAAGTATTCCAAAACATAAAAATAGACACAGACCAGTACAAAGTAAAGAACAGGATCCTTGAATTTATCAAAGTGACTAACTCTGGGACTTGCACTAACTCAAAAAACGAGATTGGGGAGCAGAAAGAAAAGATGGTCAAATACTGAATTTTTAAGTTTTGGAACGCTTGAATCAGAAGTAACTAGAAGCTGGTTGTCTAAAACTCATCAGATGGGAAAGTTGGCAGGTGGAGATGAGCCACAGAATAATGGTGCCAAGGGCGGCTTCTTCCCAGGGAGGGGGGAGGGTGGCCGGGCCCTCACTTGGCACCCTGGGCTTCGGACTCTTCCTCGTCATCTTCGTACATCTCTCCTTCCTCTTCAGCGGTGGCATCTTGGTACTGCTGGTACTCGGAGACCAGGTCGTTCATGTTGCTCTCGGCCTCCGTGAACTCCATCTCGTCCATGCCCTCCCCCGTGTACCAGTGGAGGAAGGCTTTGCGCCGGAACATGGCCGTGAACTGCTCTGAGATGCGCTTGAAGAGCTCCTGGATGGCGGTGCTGTTGCCAATGAAGGTGGAAGACATCTTCAGGCCCCGGGGAGGGATGTCGCACACGGCTACCTTGACGTTGTTGGGGATCCATTCCACAAAGTAGCTGCTGTTCTTGCTCTGGATGGCGAGCATCTGCTCGTCCACCTCCTTCATGGACATGCGTCCTCTGAAGACGGTGGCCACAGTGAGGTAGCGACCGTGGCGGGGATCGCAGGCGGCCATCATGTTCTTGGCGTCAAACATCTGCTGCGTGAGCTCAGGCACAGTGAGGGCTCGGTACTGTTGGCTCCCGCGGGCCGTCAGGGGTGCGAAGCCAGGCATGAAGAAGTGGAGGCGAGGGAAGGGAACCATGTTGACCGCCAGTTTGCGCAGATCTGCATTGAGCTGCCCTGGGAATCTCAGAGAGGTGGTCACGCCACTCATGGTGGCAGAAACCAGGTGATTGAGGTCTCCGTAGGTCGGGGTGGCCAACTTGAGGGTCCGGAAGCAGATGTCGTAGAGGGCTTCGTTGTCGATACAGTAGGTCTCATCTGTGTTTTCCACCAGCTGGTGGATGGACAGGGTGGCGTTGTAAGGCTCTACCACAGTGTCAGATACTTTGGGGGAAGGCACCACGCTGAAAGTGTTCATGATCCGGTCCGGGTATTCTTCACGGACTTTGCTAATTAGGAGGGTCCCCATGCCAGATCCTGTGCCCCCACCGAGGGAGTGGGTGAGCTGGAAGCCTTGCAGGCAGTCACAGTTTTCACACTCCTTTCTCACCACGTCCAGGACGGAATCCACCAGCTCGGCGCCTTCTGTGTAGTGGCCCTTGGCCCAGTTGTTCCCTGCACCGCTTTGACCTGTGGGGGAAGAATTGAGAGACCTGTTTGATGGGTAACCAGCCTGCATTTTTCCTCGCCTAAAAGTGCCCGATTCTGCCTCAGAAACCAAGGCGGCCCTGGAGAAGGATGGAGCTCCTGTGCCTCTCATTGCCTTTGGCCCAGCCGGTTCCCCTTCAGAGCCCACCCCCCTCCCCCAGGGCCCTTCCATCCCTCCTGAGCCACAGATGCAGTTCCCCCAATCCGAAAGGGAAGCTACGCCGTCTCCAGGGTGTGGAGCTGGGTTAGGGAGGGAGGGGGGGAGATCTGGGCAAGAGGAGCACAAAGAGGGACAATACCAAAGATGAAGTTGTCTGGTCTGAAGAGGTGTCCAAAAGCGCCTGAGCGAACACTGTCCATGGTGCCAGGTTCCAGGTCCACCAGGATCGCCCGGGGGACGTATTTGTGAGCTGGAAAGAGAAAGAGCGTTTTCCCTTGAAAGAACTAACCCAGATGGCTCACCCACCAGCAGGCACTTGCATCCATTCCGCACGGCTCCTCCCTCCCGCCACTCCTCCAGGGATCTACAGAGGGCAGAGTCCAGTCCCTCAACATTTGCTCCATGCTGGCGGACAACCCGCATGGTTTCCTTTGCCAAGAGTCGCATTGAAAACCCTGCACACGAGGGCCCAAAGCCCCTCCTTTACCACCCCTTTATTCCTCCTCCTACTGACGGTGCTATGCTGAAAAGGTGCATGGCCAAATGACCTCCCTCCTGGATTGGGAACCCGTCAGCCACATCCTTGTTCTCAATGCCAGCCCCGTGTGGGCTAGATAAAAATGGTTGTGAGGCCATCTTTGTGCAGACTTCATTTTCTCCCCGGTAGCATTGAAGCTGCTGGAGGGAAAGACCCAGAGGTCAAATGGGATGGTTGGCCTGGGTAATTTCCACGAAAGGACCGGAGGGAAATTCCTGGTGTCAGAAAAGACGGGTTAGGTAGGGAGCAGAGCTTACAGGAGGCTTCATTGTAGTACACACTGATCCTTTCCAGCTGCAGATCAGAGTCCCCGACATAGTTCCCACTGGGGTCTATCCCATGCTCATCGCTGATCACCTCCCAGAACTGAGGAAAGAACAAGAGATTAGGAAAAAAATGAGACACATGGTTCTGATATCTTCTACAAATTGGAATCGGAGCACTACTAGGAGATTTATTCTGCTGTTATACTCCAAAAAAACATTCCAAGTTGCTTCTCCTTTTGCCTGACAACTCAACTGGTAACCTTTCCTCCAGAAAACCCAGGAGATTTTGCCCAATCAGCCATGTCAATGACCTCTTCCCTAGGAGCCATGCATGCGAGTCAAGGGACCTGGCCATGGTGCTGAAACCATCCCTTCTCCTGCCGTACATGGGGTGGAGGGTTGTCATCACATCCCAGCTTCTCTGAGCTCCCAATGTACTTAGCTGTAAAGGCACATCTGGCCCCAGTCCGAAAGACCATTAGGCTACAAGAACAAGCTGAAAAGGGGAACAGGACATTTTGCCCTTGAAATCCGGTCGGGGAGAGCAGATCCGTTTCTGCAGACTAATCCAATTGAGAGAGAAAGCGCCCGACTTCTGGGCATTGGTGCAAGTACGCTGGGATCAACAGTCGGATGCGGACTGCAGCAAGGACGTCACACGTTCCCCAGAGAGCCCTGAAGGGCAACAGCTCACCAGGATCCGGTTTCTAGCACTTGGAACAAAGGCTCGATCTTGTAAACAAGGGCTGAGCAGCGTTCCCACAGGTGACAGTGGCAGCTTCTCTGGATGGAATTGTTATTGATTTAAAGATCCTGCTCTTCCATTGTGCAATGAGGACGATCCGAGTGGAGGAGACTGCACCATCTCTTAAGTGGTTTGCGGATCAGGGAGGCCTGATGGAGCTGCGATTGCCAGGGAGCCCCTCCTCACCGGCAAGGTCAGGAGCGCTGTGAGCGTCCGTGCAACAGCACTGCTGCGTCCCCTGCAGACGTGGCATTGTACAAGAATGGGAAACTGCAGAGCCCCCAAGAGTCTTGAGCGGCAGAACTGCCTACGCTGCCTTTTGCCTTCAGCCAGGGAGCCAAGAACTTCAGCTAGAGTGGAGGACCAGCCTTTTTGTGACCTGGCCTGCTGCCTTGATCTGTGGAAGCCCAGTTGAACCCCCATTCAGCCTAGTGGAGGCTGAGATATCCCAGAGGGATCGGGTTTGTCTGCTGAGGCCCAAGCGAGGGAGGCAGGCAGGCTGAGAAGGGCAGCTGACTGCAGCTTCTTATGCAACTTCAACCTGGCGTAGCTGGGTAGCCTTCCTAGAGTTGTAAGATCTGTTCAGTGAAGAGCCAGTCGCATGATAGGAAGAAGTGGGACTGGTTGCCCCGAGGAAATCAGATCCTCTTCTGGGTCATGCAACAAAACTCCTCCCCTGGGGCTGCACTGATGTGGGACTCTGGTCATACGTCAAAACTGACCCTCAAGGCCCCCTCTTACATCTCCTTCCTGGGCACTGGGGATGTGGAAGGCCAGTCTCAGTTCTGCCTTGATCAATTCTCACTTACGGGATTTGTGGGTTGCAATGGATTATTCACCACAACTAGCATATGCATGAGGCTGCTTAAATAGCCCATGATGGGGGGGGGGGAAGCTCTCCCCCTCCCCGCATCACTTTTCACGACAGGCTACCTGTCACCCTGGTGAATCTCATGGGGGGGGGGATATAAAGATTATGTAACGGGTGATTTAAAGGGTACCCCATTTAATTTGTTAGCAGTGAAACTTAATTCAGAATTTGATAAGATCTCAGACTGAAGACTGGTATTCCATGAGGTAGTTCTCCCTCACTGAAGTTGGCGATATAAAATAATAATGTGCACATAATAATAATAATAATGCTGCTTTTAAAAAGGTTTCTTTGTTGTGGAAGATTTTCTTGCTGCTGAGTTGGGACAAAGCCCCCCCCCCCATCCCAGAATAGCCCATTGGAAGACTCGAGCTCCTTTGTCAGAAACCTAGGGGTGGGGAGGGGGGAGCTCATTATTCATCGGAGGGGCGGGCCCCTCTCCACCAGGAGATAGGCAGGCTGCCCTTCCCCAAAGGAGGGAGGGTGGGTGGGAGGGAGGGAGGGCAAGAGCCCCCCCCTCCCCGGGGCTCAGCTGCCAAAGTGCTCGGGAGGCTGATTTGATGTCAGGCTGCTGTGCTCCTCTCCACCCACGGGGATAGGCAGAGCCTTAAGTGGTGAGGTCTCACTGCAGGGAGTTGGCCTTCTTTTTATTCAAAGCAGGCAGAAGGGGGGTGTGGGGGGAAGGGGACTGGTGGGATGATTAGCCAGCTTTGTGGCACTGAGTCATGGCAGCTGGAGTCTCACCCTCTGCAAAGTCTCAGCTGCCCTGCCTTCTCTTGGCAGAGCCTTCTTGGGATCCGTTCACGCTCTGCTCTGCCCGGAGGAAATCCCTTCCTCCCACCAGCCTCCCCAAGTCTGTCCTGGCAGTGCCGGTCCTTTCCCATTGGTCTCCCCAGCTCTTTGTCTGCCTCGGGGTCTTGGGAGTGGGAAGGGGCTTCAGGGGATGGAGAGCCCCTTCCTCCAGTCAGCGCTGCCTGCCAAGCTGGGGAAACCCTTCCAGGGCTCTCCTTCCCCACTTCCCACTTTGCAGCCCTCAGGACCGAGATGCGAGACAAAGCGGCCGCCACCACGCCTTCATTCCGTCCGGCTAAGGAGAGAAAGGGAGACGCCCCTCCTCGGAAGATCGGAGGGGTGAGAGAGAGACCGAGCGGTTGCTGGAAAATTGGTGGAAGGGGAGACAGGAGCCGGTGGGACAAGGAACCCCTCAGCTTCTGGCCTCACCAAGGTCAAGGTGTCCAGCCTTGGTGACGTCTTTGTTCTGGAAATCCGGGGGTCTTCCAGCTGCTGAATGAGACCACTCCCCGCTTTGTCTTTGAGAGGCAGGGGGAGGCAGGAGTCCCCTTCGGCCACCCTTCAGCTCGCGCCCTCCCCCCGTCCCCTCCTCCCGCATCGCCCCCAGGAAGCCAGGCCACAAGCAGCCCCCCTTGCCAGCCCGGGGAGCCCTCACGCAGGAGGGGAACGGGCCAGAGAGCCCCGCCCCCTTTACCTTGGCTCCGATCTGGTTGCCGCACTGGCCCGCCTGGATGTGCACGATCTCTCTCATGCTGCACCGGCGGCGGGGCTGCTGCGACGGCGGCGGTGGAGGGCTGGAGGACGGCGGGCAGCGGCAGGAGCGGTGGGCGCGGAGCGATTGGAGGAGGCGGCCGGGCTCTGCCGGCGGGTTTTATCGGGGGCGCCTGCTGCACCCGGGCTGGGCGCTGACGTCACCGCCGAGGCCTCGGCCAATCCGGAGGCGCCGCTGCAAAATACTGCACTGGCTGCAGCATCAGGACCAGGCGCGCGTGCAGCAGGCGGGGAGGCGGCGCTGGCTTTGCCCCCCCGGGATCGGGCGCTTCGCCTCCTCCAGGCGTTACGCAGCGAGGCTCGCTCCAGGCTCTGCTGGAGAAGAGCGCTTCTGAGCGTGTGCGGAGGGCTTCTTCCTTAGTGCGCCTCTTCTCAGGCCCGCATCCCCCCCCCCCGTTGCGAGAAGAAGTCGGGGTTGCGAGGGAACTTCGGGTCTGGCCGTTGTTTCTATCCTGCGGCTGGGGGGGGGTCGCTTTGTTTGGTTTTCCACTCGCTTTTCAGAGGGACTTTTTGTGAGTTGCAGCCGAGCCGACAGGCTGTCTCCGGAGTGACTCCAGCGCTTGGGTCGCGGTCGATCACTTAGCAGCCCCGGAGCCAGGCCGGCGCGCGCAGGGAGGCCCGGGCGGCGGGGGCTTTGGGCCTAAGAACAGCGGCTTTAAAAAGGGGAGAGGCGTCGGACAAAGGCCCGCTTGCCTGTCTGTGTGGGGGGAGAGACAGGCGAAGCGAGCTGCCGCAGCCCACCTCGGGTGGCTCCCAGCCTTTGTTCCGGCGCCAGCATCCCAAAGACGCCGGGCCACGAAGGCAGCCGCCGCCCGCTTCTCCGGAGGGGGGCAGAGGGAGGGACACGGCCCCCCTCCTCCTCCTCCTCCTCTTTTGTGTCTGCGCCACGGCTCCCCTGCGGGAGGGGAACAAAGCCCGGCGTGCCAGCCGACCCCCGGCCACGGCGCGGGAGGCGTTTGGGCCGGACCGGAGGGGCGAAGGCGGCGCGCGCGAGCTGCGCTTCCCCTCCCTCCGAGCAGAAGACCCTCCTGAGGATCTACGAGGCCGCTCCTGGCGCTGCTGCTAATGGGCGCGATTCCAGCCGGACGGAGCCTAAGAAGGCCCGGCCTTAACGCGCGTGCTCCTCCCACACCTCTCGCCAGCGAGCGCCGCCGCTCGAACGCCGAGGCCCGGCGTGAACCCCGCGCTCCCCTCCTCGGCATCTTGATGAGCTCTGGAGAGCTGAGCGGCAGCGAGGACGGCCCAGGTTCTGGACTTGCGCTCCCAGCCAGCCTGGCCGCG